GAGGAGGGGGAGGAGGAGAGAGAGGAGGAGGAGAAGGAGGAGGAGGAGGGAGGAGGGAGGGAGGAGGAGGAGGGGAGGAGGATGAGGAGGAGGAGAGAGGAGAGGGAGAGGAGGAGGAGGAGGAGGGATGAGGGGAGGAGGGAGGGAGGGGAAAGGGGACGAACGGGAAGGGGGGAGCGAGGAGGGCGAGGAGGAGGGCGAGGAGGGGGGGGGAAGAGAGGCAGCAGCGGCGAGCGGCGCGAGGAGGAGCGGCCCTCCGAGAAGGCAGTCCAAAACCCCCGCCCCTCGGAAGCCTCCAGGGGACCCCCGGCGATCAACCGCAGACCCAGGCAGCCGATGCCTCGAGTTCTCACCACGAAAACCAGCCCAATCTGGCCGAGTGAAGGGCCACGATGCAGGGGGGACTGGCATGGGAGGGGATGCATCGACCTGGAATCGGCGATACATCGCCGATAGATCGGCGATAGGCCCCCGATAGTGAATCCGCCCATTCCTGGACGGGTTGGGGCTATCATACCCCTATCTGCGATCCATGGGCGATTTGGGGTCGATGCATCCCCCCCATGCCTACCCCCCCGATCGTTGCCCCTGACCAAATCCGTGTTCGACAACCGGCCGGATCCGGCACAGTCCCGCCGAATCCGCCTGAATCCCGCTGGATCGGGCATGATCCCAAATCGCAGTCTGGGCTGATCTGGCTCAGCGCTCCCCTGATCGGGCTGCCCAGCCCATGGATCCTTCCCGCGGAACCAGCCAGGGCGCTGTCCCGCCTGTGCTACAGGGCCCCCTGGAGCCCCGACACTGTCCCCCGGGGCCCGCCTGTCACTCCGAGTCGTGCCGTGACACTCCTGGGGCCCGGCGAGGGGCCCCCCCGCTCGCATCACCGTGGGGGCTGCTGCGCGGTTGGGGGGGGGCTGTGCAAGCGGCTGCCAGCGAGAAGGAGGACGAGGGAAGAGGAGGAAAAGTGAAGACGAGGCAGGGGGCGAGGGAGGTAGACGAGAGGAGGACGAGGAGGAGGGAGACGTACGCCACAGCCCTCGGCTAAGGTTAGTCTAACGTCAAAACAGGAGGAGGGTGGAGGAAGAAAAGGCGTAACCCACCCTAGGGTTGGTTACGCCTGACCCAAACTTGCCCTACGAGTGGGTGACACCTGCCCTGCACGGCATATATGCGTCAGATCAGACAACCCCGCTACATGGGCTGAGCCTACTCGGCCTGGACTCCCACTCCCGCTGAGCGACTTCGGGCACGGCCGATCCGATCATAAGCTTGCGTAGGCCAGACATCGTCCACCTTGGCATCCGCCTAGAACCCCATATCTCCCCGTAGCAACCACCACTGTGCTCCAAGTAAGGAGGCCGAAAAGGGCGAAACACCTCCTCCTGCTCCTGCTCCTGCTCCTGCTCCTGCTCCTGCTCCTGCTCCTGCTCCTGCTCCTCCTCCTCCTCCTCCTCCTCCTCCTCCTCCTCCTCCTCCTCCTCCCCCTCCCTCCTCTTAAAAACAGGGCTAGGATCGGGATAAATCGCTCCAGAGCGTTCCGGAGCGCTCTCAGAGCGTTCCGGAACGCTCTGGAGCGGCCGCGGCGCCCAATACATCCTCCAAACCCGCCGATTCTCAGAGATTTCGAGTTATCCCGATCCGATGTTGTCCCGATCTTCGCGTCGTTTTACCTCCCCCTCCCCCTCCTCCTCCCCCAGCACGTTGGAAGCCCGGTGAGCGGCCGGCTCGTCTGAGGCGCAGGCCGAGCTGTGGGGCGAAGGCCGAGGCGGGCCCCGGCCGCGGGGTAGCGCCCGGTGCCGCAGGGCGGCGGCCGCGCGGGCGGCGCGGGCGGCACGGCCTCAGCACGCGCCGCTGCGGGGCTTCGCCTGGAGGCCGAAAACGGCGAAACACCTCCTCCTGCTCCTCCTGCTCCTCCTGCTCCTCCTCCTCCTCCTCCTCCTCCTCCTCCTCCTCCTCCCTCCTTTTTCCTCCTCCTTTTCCTCCTCCTCCTCCTCTCCTCCCCCTCCTCCTCCCCCTCCCCCTCCTCCTCCCCCCGCACGTTGGAAGCCCGGTGACGGGCGGCAAGAGGCACGGCCTCAGCACGCGCCGCTGCGGGGCTTCGCCTGGGGGGGGGCCACGGCGCCGGGGCGCGCAGGAGCCGAGCGGAGCAGAGGCCGCCCCCGCCCCCCCCCCGCCAGGGCGCCGCCTCCCGACCTCTGATGAGGCGGGGGGTCCAGGCGGGGGGGGTACGGGGTGGCCTGTCGACCCCCCGAGGAGCCGCAGGAAGCCGCCCCGCCCAGGCCAGGAAGCCCTGGATCGATGGGTCGGGAGTGGGGGCCCTGGCTGGGGGGTGGGGGTGGGTTGTGCTGTCCGCAGGAGCGAACGCGGCGGGGACGCGGAGGGAGGCTTGCTGGATTCCCTACCATCCTGTGGTGTTGGATCCTCGTTTTGACTACGCATCACCCCGCGTTCCTCCTCCTCCTCCTCCTCCTCCTCCTGCTCCTGCTCCTGCTCCTCCTCCTCCTCCTCCTCCTCCTGCTCCTGCTCCTGCTCCTGCTACTCCTCGCGCCTGCATGCCTTTTCCACACCATTTCGGCGCACCACTCGCACGCTTCGCGGCCCCATAGGGAACTCCTCCTAAGGCGCCAGTGGGTGCGCCTGCATGCCTCCTTCTCCGCAAGACTTCGGCGTACGCTTCACACGTTTCGTGGCCACATAGGAAGCTCCAACTCAGGCCCCAATATGACTGTGTGCGTCATGAAGCAAGATTCTGGAAACCATGCGGCAAAACTGAGTGGTGGAGGGGGGGGGAGCTGCGAAAAGAACCGAAAAGAACGAGCATTAGGCAGGGCAGGGTAGGCAGGAGCAACCGAGGGGGGTGGGAGTCTGTATGGAGTCCTCGGGGCGGGCGGCCCCCCATGTGCTCCCAGAGATCCCCAGGAGAGGTGGAAGCCAGCGGAGAGGGGGTGGCCGACGGGGGGATTGGAGGGGTGGTGGACGGAGGAGAAGTGGAGGGAGAGGTGCAGGAGCAAGGGGTGGAGTGGAGGAGAGGGACGGAGGGAGAGGAGAGGATGGCATGACCAGGAGCGGGGGAAAGAAAGTGGAACGAAGAGGGAGGAGCCGGAGGAAGGAGGGTTGCGACAAGCAGGGAGGTGGTGAGGGAGGGAGGGAGGAGGGGATGGATAAAGAAGCAGGAGCGAGGGAACAGATGTGGACGAACAAGGAAGCAAGAAAGCAAGACACCACACTAAGATGATGTTGTTCCCATCGCACTTGAAGTCCACATCCCAAACCTAATGTCGAATACCCAGAAACGTATCGAAGCAATGTGCGCCCGACGCGCTGGCGAAGTGTCGAACGAGGTTCGCCTTCCAGAGGCCGACACGTGAACACCCGACAGTTGCGGTACTGTCTGGGTGCTCCAACTTCTTTCTGGTGGTCAACGCTGCAGCGAGCTGGAATATCACGACAAGACGAGGTACAACGGACAACACTAACTTCATTATATGAGCGAGTACTCCAGAGTTCGTAATAAAAGGGAAGGGGTCTGGACCCTCCAAGACAAGCCATTTCAGACCCCCCCCCCGTGGGAGAACCCTCCAAAACATCGTCCCCAGACCCCCCCAGGCCCTCCAAGATAGCCTGGAAGAGACCCCCCCCGAAATGAGACCCCCTCCCTTTTATTACGAAATCTGGAGTACCTATTTCTTGTTTGTGGGGGGGGCTTTGCTATGACAGTGAACCCAGTCAGGGTAATAGCGGCGGGGAGGGCGGGCAGACCCGAGGCAACAACCGACTCGACGCTCGACAGTCGCGGGGCCCAAGCCGCGTCTTTTACACAAGCCCATTCGGCTGCACCCGCAGCGGTGCCCACTCCACTCCACGCTGCCCTCGTCCTCTGGAGGAGGAGGGGGAGGAGGACCAGTGTGAACGCAGGAACCATCAACGTTGTTGGAAGTAACCCTCCCTCTAAGCTCCCTCTTCACAGGTCCCTACAACAGTTCATTTCCATTGAGGGAACTGCCTCGTTGGAAGACAACCGTTTGAAGACCTTGAACTGCCAGAACATGGTTCTCGGGATTTCCACGCCACGGATCAACCTGACTGCTGCGTCCTCACGATCCGGAATCGCGCAAGAACGCCATTTTGAGATTTCAGCACCGCGAATCAACATAACTGTTGCAACACCATTATCCGGAATATTCCAAAACACGACTTTTGGTACGTGTTTCATGGGAATCAACGAAACTCCTGCGAATGCTAAAAAAAGCAAGGTGTGCGGCGCTGATGCGAGAGCCACATTTTGAAAACGACCCGCCATCAATCCGTGAAGCTATTGCAAATGTTGAAAGCGAATGCACGCGGCGCTGATGCGAGAACCGCATTTTGAAAACGACCCGCCATCAATCCTGGAAGCTCTTGCGAATGTGTAAAACGAATGTGCGCGGCGCTGATGCGAGAACCACATTTCGAAAACGGCCCGCCCTCAACCCGTGAAAGTCTTGCAAATGTTTAAAACGAATGCACGCGGCGCTAAGGCGAGAGCCACATGTTGAAAACGACCCGCCCTCAATCCGTGAAGCTCTTGCAAATGTTTGAAACGAATGTGCGCAACGCTAAGGCGAGAACCACATTTTGAAAACGGCCCGCCCTCCATCTGTGACGCTGTTGCCCTTTTTTAAGCTTCAGGGTCATAGATGGTGAGGAAGTCTCAGGCGAAACGCCAGGCCCGCCCTAAAAACTGGCCTCGTGGTGCGCCAGGGAAAAGGTATGTACAAGGGAAAGGGATGGAGGAGGAGGAGGAGGAGGAGGAGGAGGAGGAGGAGGAGGAAAGGGAGGATGAGTCGAAGGGGGAGGAGGAGCAGGTGCAGGACGAGGAGGAGGACGAGGAGGAAAACGAGGAGGTGGAGGAGTCCGCCCCCCGGTCCCCCATCATCGGCCTCCTCGTCCTCTTCCCGCCTCCCCCTGCTGCTCCTCCGCTCCCCATCTGCCTCCCGAGCCCCCACCCTCTTGCTGCCCGCCTTGGCGTCGGCGCTGAGCTTCGCGTCGGCGATGGGCTTTGCAGGGGCCTTCTTCTCTGGCCACTGCGCCATCACGTCCATGGCGCTGCGGGCGGCTTGGATCTGTGAAGCCCCCCTCCTCCCTCAAGTTCCCTGTTTTTTCTCCTGCACCTCCTCCCTCTTACCCCTCCTCCACCTCCTCCTCCCGATGGGAATACGACGATGAATGCTGATGATGATGATGGTGGTGATGATGATGATGATGATCATGATGATGATGATGATTATGATGGTGATGCTGGCGATGCTGACGATGATGGTGAACGTGATGGTGAGAGTGAGCATGAGAAACATAAGGATATGCTGCGACGTTGCAGAAGAAGGAGGAATGTGGGGACGATCGAAGGCGAAGGGTGGCGCATTATGTAGGGGACAATGAATGAATGCAGGAGCAGGTAATAAGGCAAAATAAGCAGCCCGAGAGGAGGAAATGACGTGAGCAGAAGGAGGCGCAACGAGGAGGTTGGGGAAGATTGGATCGATCCGCGCCGTCCTGGTCACCACGCCGGCAGCTCCCACAAGCGCGTCGTGGGTCTCGCGCAGCCGGGAGAGGTGCGCAGTCTGGAGGACGAGCAGGGCGTGCTTGAAGGCCTCGGTGTCCCCGATTTCTCTTGACGTGGGCCACCACGGCGCTCGACTCCTTTCCTGGACCCCCGGCGTCATCATTTTTTCATGACGCGATCCCCAAAAGTCCGGACCTATTCCCCCGGGACCGGTTTTTCATCCTGAATCGTTTCGTTGACGGCCCCGAGGCCCGGTGAGGGCCCCCAAAGGCCGAAAACAGGGGGCTTCCCAGGGGGTACTTTTTCATCCCGGGCCCGTATCCGACGGCCCCGGAACCCAACAGAAAGCCCCCTGGTGGCTAAATCCTACGAGAACCCGAAGGCGACGATCGACTCCTTTCAACATGTGGGCGATTTCGGAAAGCTTGAACCCAAAAACCTTTCATCTCTTTGGGGCGCATGTTTTACTTCCGCCAGCCTTCCGCCTCGGAAGCGGCCTCGTTTTACTTCCGCCGACCTTCCGCCGCGGAAACGATGGCAACTCCTTCGATCCTCGAAGGCAAGGGCCTGTTTGGAACGCCGCATGTGGTCCCCGTCGTTGCTTTTGTTCACAGTCCTGGTAATCGAACAGGTCTGCAGAAGTCCAAAACGCAATGTGGCCGAGCGCGGAGTGGGGTAAGGGGGAGGGGGGAAGGCTTCTTAGAAGGAGCCTGCTTCTTAGAAGGCGCGAGCCTTACATCTACAGGACATTGGAGCCAGAAAAAAACACACAAAGGAATTTCACACAAAGGGTTTTGGCACCACCAACGGTGGAACGCATGTGCACACATGCCACTGGATCCCCAGCGATCCGAACCAGGGTTGATGCACGGCCGTGCTCTAGGATGCAGTTGACATGTATGCTGTGGCAAGGCTGTCGCGGGCCTCTCCGAAAGGCGCCGCGCCTTCGAAGAGGCACGCGTGGCCGAGCCAGACGAGGTCCGGACGGGGGCACCACCCGAGCGGGACAGGGAGACCTCCGAGACCTGGCGGTCCTGCAGGACGCGTCGGGCGCCGCGGCCGCTGCAGAGAGCTCGGGAGAGGGAGGGAGGAGGGAGGAGGGAGGGAGGGAGGGAGGGAGGGAGGGAGGGAGGGAGGGAGGGAGGGAGGAGGAGGGGAGGAGGAGGGAGGAGGGAGGAGGGGGAGGGAGGGGAGGGGAAGGGAGGGAGGAGGAAGGAGGTAGGAGAGGGAGGAAGGAGGAGGAGGAGGAGGAGGGGAGGAGGAGGAGGAGGAGGAGGAGGAGGAGGAGGAGAGGGGAGGGAGGGAGGGAGGGAGGGAGGGAGGGGGGGGGAGGAAGGGAGGAGCCCAGTCCGGCCACCACCGCCTGCCCTCCCAGGGAGGCCGCGCCAGGCCGCGCCGAGCATCTGCGAAGCCGACTCCCCGGCCGCAGCACGCTGCCCTTTCCCCTCCGGGGGGGCCGCGGCCTCGCCCTCTCGTCCCCGTCGGCCTCCCCGCGGCCCGCCTCTCGCCCGTGTCGGCCGCCGCCGCAGACCTCGTCGCCTCGCCCCCGTCCTCGGTCGCCCCCGTCCTCGCCTCAACGTTCCTCCTCTTCCTCCTCCTCCTCCTCCTCCTCCTGCTCCTCCTCCTCCTCTTCCTCTTCCTCCTCCTCCTCCTCCTCCTCCTCCTCCTCCTCCTCGACCCTCGGAGGACCTAGGAGGACCTAGGAGGGTCATGCCCTCCTAGGTCCTCCTAGGTGCTCCTAGGTTCTCCTAGGTCCTCCTCCTCTGCTGCCCTCGCCATCGCTCTCGTCGCCGCTCGTCCTCTCCGCCGTGCCGCCGTCGCACCGCACGCGCCGCCGCCGACCGCTGGGCACGGCGCGTTCTGCGCGCACTTCTTCGACTGCTCGCAGGAGCCCGACTCCCCGCTCTCCCTGGCCTGGCGCGCGCGGCGGCGGAGGCGGGGAATGCCTTTTTTTTGGTTTCGGACTACGGCGCTGACTGAGCAGTGAGCCTGTCAGCAGAGGCCGGCGCGCCAATCGCAACGGATCAGCGAGGCAGCAACTCTGCACGGGCACCGAGGGAGGCAAGTTCCGCACGGCACGAGTGGACCCCCGCATCAGAGCGGACGGGACGCGTCGGCCCGAAGCAAGGAGTCTGTACCTCCCTCCCCCCTCCCTCCACAGTAGGCGGCGACAGACGGATGGAGGCAGGGAGGAGAGGAGTGGAGAGGAGAGGAAGGACGGATTTTGCATTGCGCTTCTGACTGAACTCAGCGGCGCGTCAGGCCAGTGAGGCCCTCAAGCGGCAGGCGCGACAGTATTGGCCGACAGAGTATGGTAGAAAGCCTACACTGCTGCGCCTGCGCCAAGGTAAGAAGCACGATTGGCTAAATCAGACAGCACAACAAATCAGGATGGAGACAAAGGAGGAGGGAATTTTGTTCTACTCTACAGAATGGCGTGTGTACCTGCTGCTGGGCGGGGCTCGCATCGAACTCAACACACCCAAACCTCAAGAAATGTGTCACCGCTTTTATGTGGGAAGCCGCGGTGCAACCGTGATATCACATCCCTCCCTGTATTCGAGGGCGGGGTACAGACAATACTGAGATCTCCTGGGGCCTCACAACGGCGCATGCCACACATCTCGCAGGAGAGCCCCGAGAAGCCCGAGAGCAGAGCCGCGATTCGCCAACCGCCCCCGACGAAATCCCAAGGAGCTGAAACCCCAATATTTCACAGAATACGCGCGCGTTCCGCAAACTCAGTTTTTCACACTTACTGCCGGCCCAAGGGGTCGGCGGAGCGGCGTCAGCCAATGAATCACATTTCGGGTTTGGATGGGAGGGTTACGGGTCCACGTGTTTTGTGTTCAATGTTCCCCGACGCCCCCCCCTCTGGGAAATGGAGGACACAATGGGGCCTTCGGACTTGGTTGGGTGGCTTGGTGGGTGGTGTGCCGCGGGCCCCCCGACCGCCCACACGAGGCAGCGACGGCCGACGTGCACGACGAGGCACGCCGAAGAGCGCGCTGCCGCCCGCGCGCGACCAACCCAGGAGGGGGCAGGAGCAGAGAGCAGAACATGCACCCTCAGGATAAGCCTCCTCCTCCTCCTCCTCCTCCTCCTCCTCCTCCTCCTCCTCCTCCTCCTCCTCCTCCTCCTCCCCCACAGCGAAGCCGTTCAGTGGACGCACCCAAAGGGAAGCATCGAACAGGGCACGGCCGTGCAGCAACCGCCTAGGGCCATCTGGCAACTGCCAGCTCTCGGGGTCGAGTGGTGCTTTCCGTCGCGCGACCGACCGCAGGACCCCACGGGGCGGGGCCTCGCAGGGCGCCCCCTCCGCCCGAGCCCCGCGGGCGGCCTCTGATGATGGGCCCGCTTCCCACCACACCACCACCATAAGTTGGGAGGGGGGAGGGGGGAGGGGGGCCTCCTCCCCCTCTTCCTCCTCCTCCTCCTCCTCCTCCTCCTCCTCCTCCTCCTCCTCCTCCCCCCCTCCAACTCATGGTGGTGATGGTGGGAAACCGGCCCCTCGGCCTCGAGGCTGCAGCAACCCCAGCGCCCAAGGCCGCGGAGCGCGGCGGCCCGCTCCGCGGGGGGAGCGGGCTTCCCGCCTGCCCGCGCCCGTCCTCCATCCCGCCGCGGCCCTGGGCGCGCGCGTGGGCCGCGACCCCGCGGATGCTCGGGAGCGGCCAAGAGGGGGGGGTCCAAGAGGGGGGGGGTGCAAGTCATGACCGGCGGCATGTGCGCGGCCCAGCGGGGGGGCCAGGGGCGTAATGAAATAAGAAGCGGCGCCATAAGTTCTGGGGAAATATCATGGCCCCTGCCATGATATGTACCCCCCCCTAGTCATCACCCCCCTCTTTTCCGCCCCCGAGATGCGGAGCATTTTCTCCGCGGGAGCCCCGCGCGGGACGCAGCCGTGCGGCGGCGCCTCCGCGGCGTCGCGCCCCGGAAACCAGACCGCGAGGGCGCGGGTACGAAGACGTCGGCCGCGCTCGCAACGTGCTGAAGCCGGAAGCAGGGCTGGGAAACGTCCTCGGCCCCCGGGCCTTCCCGCCGACCTGCCGCCCACACCCTGGACCAGGAGGCGGCGAGCGCGGGATGCGCCACGAGGCAAAGATCTCTAGGGAGGGAGCTTGCGACAGCAGGCGAGAGAACGAGAGAAGCCGCGAGGAAGGCGCGAGGAACATATCAGGATATGGGAGGAAGAAAGCAAGCGGGAAACAACCCGATCTAAACCCGACAAGGGTTTTCCACGGCCCCCTTGCCCACGTGCGGCGCTGCGCTGCATGCGCTGCTTTCCAATAGGCCGTTGCATTGTCCTGGGCTCGCGCCCAGCCGTGCGCTGTAGGCGCCCGGCGCGCCTGGGAATAGCGCCATCACGGAAGAGCTCCGACACTTGGTCCAATGGCCTGGTGGGGCCAGAGCCACGGCTCCCACCAGTCCTGGCAGCTGACACCTACGTGCCCCTGGGACGCAGACGCGGCGAAACTGGCCCCGCAACAGATGCATTCCTGGCCCGCTTGCCCCCGATGCGGCTGAGCTGGGCCAGGAGCCTTTGCCCCCCCAGCCCAGTCTCCCAAACCCCTTTCGGGGAAAGCCGCGGCAAGATCTCGCTTGAGTTCCCCGCGCGGCTGACAGGGCGGCACTGGCTCGGCGCGTGGCAAGCGACGGCCTCCAGACTTCACTGCTGCACCATCGAGCTCGCGTGCTCCTTCCACCTCCCGCCGTGCCCTTCGCGCTCCCTTTCGCCATGCTGGCCAACCGGGGACACCCCACTCCTGAGTGACGAGGGTGTGTGTGTGTGTGGCTCTTGCCCACCCACCTGCTACGCTAATGAGGTGGAAACTCGCCGAATCGTGGCCCAGCAGAGTGCATCGCGACGGCGTCGTTGCCTCGCCGCTGCGGGAGTCGCAGCACCAGGTGGCCCAGCGCGCCGCACGCTCGGCCGTCGCCTCCTCGAGTCGTGCGAAATCGCGGCTGTCGCCGCCGTCCCCGGAGCACGCGGCATCTCCGCCACAGGCCCTCACCAACGACACCGTCCTCGCGGCGCGCCGACGCAGCAGGTGGGCCAGCCCCGGCCCTCCAAGGTCTCACGCAGGGCCTGCGTACGCGGTCGCACGCGAGGCGTCCCGTCCAGCGGGGCCGGAGCGTGGTGCCTCTTGATGGCTGGCCTGTGCTTGCGCGGACAGCTGTCTGATCTGGAAGCGCAGACACTGCGTGGAGGGAGAACGGGGGCGAGAGGCGGACAGCGGGGAGTGAGGAGGGGAGTGGAGGATCGAGAGAGGGGGAGCAGGAGGGATTGGGGAGGAGGGAGGGAGAGGGAGGGTGGGGAGGGGAGGCAGACGTGGGCGGGTTGCAGCAGAGG